CAGGCCTGAGCTGGTGCATGCTCAGGTGAAGACCTGGAGGAGCTCAGGGAGACCTCGGAGCAGTCTCCACAGGTCTTCCCTCCTGGCCCCTGGAATCCGAGCTGTGTGCTCAACTCCACCACAAGCGCCTGTTTGCGTTGTGGCCGGGAAACTCCACAGGCTGCTGAAACAGCCTTTCCTTAGGACCACAGTCCTGTGCTGCCTGCTGTCGAGGTCTGCAAACCACCAGTTTACGCTTTTCATCTGATTTTTGAGTTGTTGAAATCTACTAACTCATATTTCATCATGGTCAGTAGAAGCTTTTTCTTCTGCTTTCAAACAACAGTGACTGTATTTTGTTAGTTTAACTTTCTTGTACTTTAATTGGAATAAAATATGACAGTACAAAAAATGTAAATGTAATTTTTTTTTTAGTTTCCTGGAAAGCAAGCAAAATCTGAAAAAGTTACCAAAGTAGATTGGAAAGTAGTCATTGATCATCAAGGACCTTTAAAATTAACATAAATTTTGGATATATCTATGAAAGAAGACAACAAAACTCCACTTAAGGTTCTAATTTTTTCTTAGTGGAAATGAATTTTCTAAACTGGAAACTCCTTTTTGAAATTTTCAAAAGCATATTTAAAATAGGTTACGATTTTTTTTTTTGGTTAGCCAAATTAAATTCATAATGAGCAGTGTTGTAATGTTATGTTTCAACTTGGTGATATATCTAGAAGTTAAGTAAGGGTCTTTTTGCAGTGTTAAATTCTAGTGCTAAACAGGTACATATGGGTGTGGCAAGTAGACCTGAGGTCAACCTAGACTTATTCCTAGGTGTCTGATTTTCAGCAAGTCACTTTATCTTCCTAGACCATGGGCTCCTGAACTGTAAAGGGGATCTTGTTCCTTCTCCCTCAGCATCCTCCAGGAGTAGCCTGGGGACCCGTCTTGGGAAGTACAGGTGGCCAGCTTCAGCTCCTCAGAAAACCTGGTGACTTGCCCCTGGGAACGGCCAGGGGTGGGCATGTGACCTCCATGGGCCAATCAGAGGCACTCAGCTACTTTCCCAGTGGTACTGGGAAATTCTTCCACATTCCCCCCAATGTGGAGGAGCTCTCAGCATGCAGGTGAGAGCCTGGAGCTGTGGGCGCTACCTCCTGGGCCTCAGAAGGAGGCTTATGCAGGAAAAGACAGTGAGATTTGCACAGAGGTCAAGCTCTGGAGCCTGGTGGGAGCCCTGGAGCTCACCCCACTCCTCTTGCCACTGCAGCCCATGTGGGCCTGGTTTCCTGTTGTTACTTGAATGACAAATGGTGATGCTATTGCCACCCTGGAACTGCAATGAGATTAAAACAGGGTACTGCAGCGGACTGCTTGGTACAGGGCCTGCTAATTTTGTATGTTTTAGGGGATTTCTTGAACTTTCCAAAATTCAAAAATATTCCCTTTTTAAAAATTCCTGCCGCCATCCAATTACTTAAATTTTCATGACAGTTCCTCTGTCTGCAAGGTTTTTTTTCTTTTTTTTTAAATTGTTCTTTTTAGATATACATGCCAGTAGAGTGTATTTTGACATATTGTACATCCATGGAGTGTAACTTATTCTAATTAGGATCCCATTCTTGTGGTTGTACATGACGTGGAGTTACACTGGTTGTATATTCATACATAAACGTAGGAAAGTTATGTCTGATCCATTTTACTGTCTTCCCCATCCCCATCCCTCCCTTCATTCCTCTTTGTCTAATCCAATGAACTTCTATTCTTCCTTCCCCTACTTTATTATGTGTTAGCATCCACATATCAGAGAAAGCATTCCATCTTATGGTTTCGGGGGATTGACTTATTTTACTTGGCATAATAGTCTCCAGTTCCATTCATTTGCCAGCAAATGCCATAATTTAATTTTTATTTATTGATAAATAATATTCCATTGTGTATATGAACCACATTTTCTTTATACATTCATCTGTTGAAGGGCCCTAAGTTGATTCCATAGGTTAATTATTGTGAATTGATCTGCTATAAACATTGATGTGGACACTTCACTGTAGTTTGCTGCTTTTCAGTCTTTTGGGAATAAATTGAGGAGTGGGATGACTGGGTCAAATGGTGGTTCCATTCCCAGTTTTCTAAGGAATCTTCATTTTGCTTTCCAGAGTGGTTGTACCAATTTGCAGTCCCACCGGCAAATTGGTATGAGTGAACCTTTTCTCCACATCCTTGCCAACATTTTATTGTTACTTGTATTTTTGATTGTTGCCATTCTGACTGTAGTGAGATGGAATCTCAATGTAGT